CCCCCCCACACACACACACACTGCACCATGAGCTTCCTGCTCTCAAGGGCCCTACAAAGAGGTTTTGCTTCTCTAGGACGGGGGCGGGGGCTGAACGGTCTGTGGGGTTTCTTGCAACCTGTTCACAGTGTAGGTCTCAGGAACATGAGCCCTGGGCTGCCCTGGGGCCCTGCAGGCCTGGCTGGGCGGCCACAGCGCGTCTGTCCCACACACACACACACTGCACCATGAGCTTCCTGCTCTCAAGGGCCCTACAAAGAGGTTTTGCTTCTCTAGGACGGGGGCGGGGGCTGAACGGTCTGTGGGGTTTCTTGCAACCTGTTCACAGTGTAGGTCTCAGGAACATGAGCCCTGGGCTGCCCTGGGGCCCTGCAGGCCTGGCTGGGCGGCCACAGCGCGTCTGTCAGGCTCTGGCCCCGGCAGGGACCGTTCACAGAGGGGCCCTGCCCCAGCACGGTCCCTGGCGTTACACAGGTGGCACCAAAACACAAACAGGCAGGAGGGGGGGAGGGACAGGCTGCTCCTCCCTCTCTCAGGCTGGGGCTGCCGGGTTCAGCCCAGTAGGGTTGCCAGGTGTCCGGTATTTTTGCGTCCTGTCCGGTAAAAAAATTCAGAAAATACCGAACACCTATAATGTGTCCAGTATTTTCTGACCTTTTTTCCCTGTGTAGCCAGACAGGAACCCCCCTGTAACATCCATTTTTGCTTGCCTGGAGCACTCAGGGCACACAGAGCAGTAAAATCAGCATAGTCTTTGAAGCCTTGACAGGAGGCCCAGATATGCCAGCTCACCCAGTGACCCTGGACAACTGTAAGCAGAGATAAGAGGGTGGTCGAACTAATTGTTGACCTCGAGGCTGCGAGAACTGCCTTGACTGAAACCCATATTGATACGAACACACACTCGTCCGGGGGGAGGAATCTCTCGCCCAGTAAAGAATGTCCAGTACTCACAATTTAGTTCTCTCTCTGGTATAAAGATGGGTCCAGCAGCACACTTACTCTGAGCGTCAATCTACCATCTATCTGCTGGTCGGGTTAGGTAATTGGCCTCCCGAGGTTCCATGGGGACGCCCACCTCGTATTCGTCTTTCCTAGGAATTGAGGGACTGGCCCTGGCCTGTCACGCTGGAGTCGAGAGGCACAGAAGGGGGTAAAAATTGTACCTGGATGTGTCCTTTGTCTTAAGTGTACACATAGACTTAGAGCTCTTTAAAGATTAAGCTGTCACTTGGTACCATTATTTCTATTTTCTATCTTTATTTTCTTTGTAACCATTTTTAAGATCTATATTTGCTAGCAGTTAAGAAATAGAGCAATAGCCATTGTAACCTTCTGATTTATAAGCTTCTTTAATAAACCTGTAACTGCTTAAGTTTTAACCTGACTCCTTCAGTTGCTGTAATGGAACCAAGCACAATTTAAAAGAACTCCAGCCGGACATAAGGGACAGATACGGGCATAGCTGGGCATTTGGATCATGTCGGTTCCAAAGTACAGATCCGAAGGGGCATCTCTCAGCCTTCCCTAGGCTGCCCGCTGCGAAGGGATCCTGTATCCTAGCAGTCAAAGTCTGAGGTGTAATAAGCTCTCCCTGTAAACTCTGGGGCGTCTGTCAGCCTGTTGGCTGCCCACCATGAAGGGATCCTGATCCTAGCAGTTAAAGACACGGACGTTAAACTCCTCGGGGCGCCCATCGGCCTCCCTAGGCTGCCCGCTGCGACAGGACCTTGTGTCCCAGCAGTTGAAGACTCGGGTGTAACACGCACACGCACACGCACTACCCTGACCATCGGATGACACCCTGCCAGGAGGCAAAAGTACCAGACATCTGGCAACCCTCAGACACACTCAGCACCTGGGCCCAGCCCCCTGTGCCTCGGCTCCCTCTCCCGGACCCCCTGCTTACCTGGGGCCACAGGGAAGCTCCCTTCCGGCTCCATGAAGAAAACAAAATGGCTGCCGGCAAAAAGCCTAAAGAACTGAAGCCTTCCCTGGTCTTAGCGCTCAGCCTGTTCCCTCTTGCTACCCCTGTTCTGACTCTGCAGGCACTTAAAGCTGTTTTCACGCTGTTTCATTTATTCATTTTTTTCTTAACTCTTCTTTTTTTGCTCAACAACTTTGGTCTCCCCCCTTTTTTTCCCTCCACAGAATTTTTTCCCTGGTGGTTTTTTTTGGAGGCGGGTGTTTGGTATTTTTGGGTAAATGATCTGGCAACCCTACAGGCCTGGCGAGCCAGTCGAGCTGCGGTGGGCGGCGGGAGAGAAGGGTCGAGGGTGGCTCAGCGTCACTCGGTCCCTACTCGACTGGACTGAGCTAATCAACCCTCCCCCGCAGCACAGCAAGTGCCGACCACTGGGGCGAGGCCTGGGGGAAAGTAGGTCAGGGCAGCTGGTTTATTGCCATGGAGCCTTGTGTAACCAGGGCAGCTCTGCCCGCCGGGGCTGGGACCTGGGGGCTGTCGCAGTGAGCGCAGGGCAGGAAGGGGGCAGAGCCGCAGGCCCAGGAGCGGCTGCTCTCAGGCTGCGGAGGAGCCGTGCGAGGAGCAGCAGCCGGGCAGCACAAAGCAAGAGCAGCCTCACACACAGGCGGGGGTTGATTGCCATGGAGCCTTGTGTAACCAGGGCAGCTCTGCCCGCCGGGGCTGGGACCTGGGGGCTGTCGCAGTGAGCGCAGGGCAGGAAGGGGGCAGAGCCGCAGGCCCAGGAGCGGCTGCTCTCAGGCTGCGGAGGAGCCGTGCGAGGAGCAGCAGCCGGGCAGCACAAAGCAAGAGCAGCCTCACACACAGGCGGGGGTTGTATCTTGTGTTAGGGTCTCAGCAGGACACACGGCAAACCCCCGGGGTCCCCACGGCAGCCCCTGGTTCCCACGGGTGACGGACAGCTGGGACCCCGCGGCTGGGGCGGGGGGGTGGGGGGGG